GGCAGCCCGGAGTCCCCCCGCGCATGCAAGCAGACATTCGTCCCATAACCATTCATTGGGCACCTACTACGTGCCAGGCCCTGAATGATTTCATACCTAGGAATGTCAAGCAGTCGGCTCAACAAACCTGTGGAATGAGAAGTCGTCTTGTCCAGAGGGTCCTGCTGTCCAGTGCTCATCCCCATCCACTAGTAAGTTTAAACCTCCTTCCCAAGATTTGCGGAGCCCCTGCCTCATCTCTTCCCCCTCATCGCACACCTGCCCTCCTGCAGCCCAGGTGCTCCTTTCTATCCGTCACACACTCAGGGCTTGGCCAGCCTCCGCAGGCCGTTCCCTCTCTGCCCAGCTTTTCGTGGCTGGCACCTTTTCATTGTACAAGTGAACTCCTAGGAGAGACCTTCCCTGCCCACCTTACCAAATTAGCTCCCCGCTGTTCTACTTCCCATGTCCTCGCTTTCGTTACTTCACATGTATCACAATTTATCCATTAATTCATTCAACAAATAGTTATTAGTCATCTATTCTGGTTCTTCATGCGTGGCGACCAAATAGTCAAAAATCCCGTCCTCTGATGGAGTTGGGGAATGGGGGGGGGGAGGGCGCGGCGAGGGGGAAGGATAGGCAGGTGACAGACCATAAACATACAAGCATATAGTATACTTGAAGGTGATAAGTTCTACCGGGGGGAAAAGAACAGGATGAGGAGAATTGGAGGTGGAGGGAGTGCAGTTTTCACTGAGGTAGTCAGATCAGGTGACATTTCAGCCATGCAGATAAACTGGCAGAGGGAACCGCCAGTGCAAAGACCCTGAGGCGCAGGACTGATTCGGCAATGACAAGGCACGCAGAGGAGCAGGAGATGAGGTCAATGACTGGTTTCCTCTTATTAGCTTATTCTCGTTGTGTATTATTCACCTCCGGGAATATCAGCGGTGGGACTGCAGGGCTGCCTGTCTTGGCTGCAGTGTCTCAGACACTACAATAGCGCCTAGCACACAGTAGGTGCTCAAAAACTATTTGTTGAATAAATATGTAAATGAAGGCGTGTCGGGATGGCTGGAACCATCCTGTCCGGACCCGATGCCTGAGGTCCAGGGGGGCGGTAGGCCTAGGGCCATAGGATGGCAGAGGGCAGAACGTGGTACCTCACTTCGACCCTTGTTCCGGAGCAGCGCCACTGCTGTGGGCACCGCTGGAGAGTGGCCTCGGGGGGAACTACGACAGAGCCAGGGAGACCCAGGAACTGGACCCGCCCCACGCCCCGCCCCGCACCAACCTCCGGTCTCCCAAAAAACCTGGAGCTGCGGCGCCCAGCAGGCACCATGGGACCGACGGGGAGCGCACTGGGCATGCTCGGAACCCTGTTGGGCCTGAGCGCCCGGGAGGAGGAGCCTCCTGGCGGGGCAGGGGGCGGCCCAGTGCTCAGCCCCTCTCCGTTCCCACCCACTCTTAGCTGAGGGTGTGGTGATGTGGGGACATTTTTTTTTCAAAGCTCAGTGGGAAAGCTGGGAATGGATGGTCTGTGAAAGACATGCTCTGTCCTCGCCCAGCCGCTGTGTGATCTGGTGCATGCTCCTTACCCTCTCTGTGCCTCAAACAATTCGAATATCTACCTCCTGGATCTGGCCTGCGCGTGGGGATTGAATGAAATTAAGAACGAGAGCATGGTTAGCCCACTTTAAAGATCCTTTTCTTGAGTGCCTACCTCAATTATCCCTCATCCGCAGACCAGTTTGCCAAGTGCTGAGATGAGAACAAAACTGCACTAGTGGACATGGGATTTCTTGGAGGCATCTTAACTTGCCTTCCACAAGAAATTAGGCCGAAACTACCTTTTCTTTCCCCACAGTCAACAGCCATTAGTTTAAAGGATGTTCTCAAATTCGAGCTAAAAAATGTCCGTTCACCTAAGGAAAAACCCAAAATATTTGTAAAATCGTGCGTTTCCAATCGCCACAACAGAAACAGGAACCAAGGGAGAGAATATCCCTCAAATTGGAAACAAATAAGTGTCTGAAAACAGAAGAATGGTTAATTAGGTTATGACGTATTTGTTGAAATAATAACTATTTTACACTAAATTAGATCGTGTTGCAACAGGGGATAACTTACTTGTACAACGTTAAGTGAAAAAAGGCTGAAAACACAAATGCACTGTGTAAAGATGTCTACACATTTGCCAAGACTTAGGAGGAAATATGGGAATATGTAATAGTCTGATTTTTAAGTTTATCTATTAATGTCACAATGTTGTGTTTGCAATAATAAAGATTTAAAAGATTAAATTAGAAATTCTTAAAGTTTTGTGTATGTCAAATAATAATAACAATAATAACCACTAATATTGAGTGCAAGTGTGATCAATACTTTACTCCTGTGTTGTCTTTAATTCTTACAGTCACTCTACAGAGTGGGTGTCTTTAGGTCAGTTTTACAGAAGAGAAACATTCAGGAGCTGTTCACAGCTGGTAAGAAACGGGGCCAGGATCTGAACACCAGTTGGCCTGACCTCAAAGCCAGGGTGTTAGGTTTTATAATACTACCCCTCTGTGTAGTAGCTTACCATATATTGATCATAAAAGAAACCACATATTATTCTATTATTCCATTTTGTGTGTTTTTTTGCCTTATTTCCTCTATCCTTTGATGTGTTTGCAGGCCACGGATTACCTTTAAACATTCTAGTCCCCTGTCACTGTATTATTCTTGGAACAAAAGTGATAAAGTTCATCCTTTCAGATCCTTGCCCCTGGAGTGCCATGATGTTATTATCAGCAATCACAGTTGACCTTATATCATAAGCTCCCAAACCTTATGCAAATGGGGTTATTAGATAGGCACTTAATCTTTCTAGTCTATGTGGGTGAACTCAGCTATATCTAGAGCAAATAGAGGGCCAGTGGGGAATAGGGCTCTACCAAGTCTCAGATAATGAATCAGAGAGACCCACATAGATTACTGTTCCTGGCAATCACTTTGGAGGCAGAATCATAACATAATGGAATCACATGGTCCATGGACTCCTCGGGACTTTGCTATGATGAAAAGTAACAGAGCTGATAGTTCTGATGCTGTTCGCCGAGAGAAAGCCAGGGCCCTAAAAGCAGCCTTCGTACTGCTGGTAAGCTTTTATTTTTTTTTTTAAAGCTCTTTTTAAAATAGTGCTAGTAGACTGTACCTGGTCCAGACATCGCTAAACAATAACAACAAATGCATGAAGCCAATGAGAGCCTTTTCCCTGAAAAGGAAGAAATTCCACAAACCCAATATGCATCACTGGTAATGGACCAGATTCATACGCGTGCAGAGGAAGGACAGGCGAGCAACTGGACCCAGTTATTCGCAGCGTTCCCAGAAGCTGCCATTTGGGCAGAAATCTGGTGCCAGAGTGCTGCACGCAGGCAATTGGCTGGGGGCACTTATAGGGAGAGTTTCCCGGAAGAATCACTGAGGATTGTCATTCACATCAAGACGCAGGAAGTCTGGTCACTGGGTGGACTGTTTGAATGATTTACAGGGCAGGGCTCCCGGCTGAGATGCTAATGCTCATCAATTATTTGTGCTGTTAATGCAAGCTCACAAAAAGGGCCCACGCATCCCTAACTACGTGGGCAAGTGGTGCTGTCATAATGACAAGTGAAAAGAATGTGAGGAAAAATTATTTGCACAGTATGGCTTCAACTGTGTGAATTACTAGGTTCAACCACATAAAATTGCCATTTTGTAGGTCCACAACGTTTGAGCATTGGCAACTTCCTCATTCCTCTGGAATGAGGCCCAGAAATCAGGATTTTAAAAAGATTCCCAGGTGATTCTAATGTGCAGCCAAGGTTGAGAACCACTGACTTAGAGGAATATACATTTTTAAGACTAAAGTTTTCTCCATTAAAATATGTCTTTCCATTGCAAATGATCACTGCCAAAGAGTTGTGTCTGTAAAACTGATGAACAAATTTAGCATGAGCACAAAAGCTGCCATGAGGTGCTCATTCATCAGGTATTTATTAAACACCTACTGTGTGTCAGGCGGTGCCCTAAGTGCTTGGGTGACATCCGTGAACAAAAGAAACAACAATCTCTGCTCTTGTGGACATATGCATTCTAACAGGACAAACCAGACAATGAACAACAGACATTATGAATAAATGAGTCATATTGTATGTTAAGACACCGGGGTTAAAGGCGCTAGGGAGAATAATGGAGGTGGGATGAGGAGTTGCAATTTTAAATAGTATTGAGGAATTTAATGACTTAAGCAAACACTTCAGCAAAGGCCTGAAGGAGATGAGGGAGTTTTTCACCCAGATATCTGGGGCAAGAATCTGGGCAGAGGGAATAGCCAGTTCAAAGGCCCTTAAAGGAGGGCCTTATTCGTAGAGTAAGGGAGCTGGTGGAGCCAAAGAGGCAGCAGGGGCCAGAACCCGAGTCCCCCTACCCTCTCCTCCGTCAGCCCCAGCAAGGACTCAGCCTTCCAGTCTGAGCTGGAAAGCCAAGCCAATGTAATGACTGCCAAATGTACTTGACCACACATTGAAAGTTAAATGCTGTCCCTTTGGCTGGTCACTTGATGCCCGCTTGTCAGGAAGCAGAGATTTCAGT